GTTCAAAGGGCAGAAAAGAAAAAGAAAAAAAATGTATTTCCTTGCCACCACTCCCACCAGGCTGCCTTTATCAAGCACCTACTTACTGAACTATGTATTTTTCAGGCACTGAACGATGTATTTTTCAGACACTGTATCCTATCTAATCCCAAGGTCCCTGTTTGGCAACAGTCACGATCCCCACTGGGTAGATGAGGGCTCCAGGTCTGAGATAGGTTCAAGGTTTCTCTGAGAGCCTGAGTTGGTCAGCGGAGGAGCTGGCAGGGGAATCGGATTTGTCTTCCTCCAGGCTGGGTGTTCTGGCTACACTGCCAAGCTGCCCTACTTGGCTCCTTACAGGAATAATTCTGTGACCCAAATCAATCTAATCGGTGATTCTTCCGGCCAGAAGACAAGTGACTGTTTACATAACCGCCTGACCTGGGTCTGTAAAATATTATTTCAGCAGAGGAGACAGAATTCCCTAGAGTCTGCCGTTCAGAGCAACTCCTCTCCACCACTTTCTTCTACAGCAGTGGTTCCCAACCTGTGGGTCGCGACCCCTTTGGGGGGTCAAACGACCCGTTCACAGGGGTCGCACACCTCATCACAGTAGCAAAATTAGTTCTGAAGTGGCAACGAAAATAATTTTATGGTTGGGGGGTCACCACAGCATGAGGAACTGTATGCAAGGGTCGCGGCATGAGGAAGGTTGAGTGAGAACCACTGTTCTAGATGCTTCCAGCTCTTCAGCTCTTCTCCTTACTTCTAGGCTCATGAGACTCCCCCCAGCTCCCCACACGCCCATGGCAATGTGGAGTGGGGCAGTGGGGCGGGCATCTGGTTATCAGTACTTACGGTGCCGTGTCGGCCAGAGACCCCTGACAAGGGGCATTGCCCTGCATCTCAGGGCTCTGCTGGGCTTCATGGGACAACGTTTCATGGGCCCCTTGGGATTTCTTGGGTTGATGTTGCAGTTTTTGTGTTTTATTGTGAATTCATTGAAAGTTTCCAGAGCAAACCAGTTTTCCATTCGACAATTTGGGTATACATCTTGCTGTGTGTCACTGATTGTTACATTCCTTCTCTTACTTTCTCCCCCTGGTTTCTATTTCCATCCTTCCCGTATTCTCCCCCTCCTCAACTGAAGGAACCCTGATGGCAGAGTGGTTATGCACTGGGGTGCTAACCATAAGGTCAGCAGTTCAAAACCATCAGTGCCTCTGAGGGGGAAAGACGGGGCTTTCCACAACTGTGAAGAGTTACAGTTTTGGAAACGCAGAGGCAGTTCTACCCTGTCCTTAGGGTTCTTATGAATTGTCATGTATTCAATGGCAGTGAGTTTGGTGTGGGTTTGCATAATTTATATCATGTACAAATAAAATCTTGTTTTTTTATTTTTGGAAACGTAAGCAAAATGTTGCTGAAGATCATCTAACGATGGTTGAAAGCTGCCAGAGATTCAAGCTGGATTCAGAAGAGGCTGTGGACCATTGTCTCTGTGATCTGTTATGCCAATTGACCTTGGGAGAGATAATGGCTAGAATTCATTCTTGTCACTCGCAATGAAAACTAGCCCTTGAGAGGCCACAGGGCCCATGGCGAAGGCCTTAGACGCCATGCCTACTATTGCTTTGAAATCCTACACCCGTTAAGCCCCCTCCCTTTCCCAAAGCCCCTGGGAACTCAGAGTCCCCGGTTGCTGTGGGGACTCCCTATGTCCCTATCTCTCCCTAGTGGTGACCTTGTTATTAGCCGCCTTCCAGTTGGCCAGGCCGCAGGCCACCACTCAGGGCACAAGGGAAGGAAAAGCTGCCTGGTCCTGGTCATCCCCGTGATAAGCTGCCGATCACTGTCAGGATCCATAGGGTACTCGATGACTGATACTCGGAAGTAGATCACAGGCCTTCCTCCCTACTGCTTCCTGGTCTGGCCCTCTGTTCTGCATTGTCGCCACAAACTTAGGTACCTCCCCTGACAGGAGGGTGGCAGCCGGGTGTGTAGGGCATTGCCAGCAGCAGAACCCCGGTCTGGTCTCCCCCATGCTGTGGTTGTGAGGAGCCATTGGATGGGTTCCGATGTACAGGGACCCTGTGTGCAACAGAACCACACACTGCCCCGTGCCACCCTCGCTCACGACCACACGCAAGAGCCGTGTGGCATTCCATCTTGTCGAGGGTCTTCATTGTTGTGGCTGACCCTCTGCATTCCCCAGCAAGATGTCCTGCTCCAGGGACTTGTCCCTCCAGGCAACATGCCCACAGCACGTGAGACAAGGTCTTGCCATCCTTGCCTCTAAGGAGCATGCTGGCTGTCCTTTCAAGGCAGATTTGCTGGTTCTTTTGGCTGTCAGTGGTACTTTCAGTATTGTTTGCCAGCACCGCAATTCAAACGTTATCGAATCTTCTTCAATCTTCCTTATTCAATATCCAACTTTCACATGCATATGAGGCCATTGAAAATACCATGGCATGGGTCAGGGAAAGCTTATCCTCAAAGTAACCTCCTAGCAGATTCACCCAGTGCCATGTGTCCCCTGATCCCATGACTGCTCCTTCCATGAGCAGTGGCCATGGATCCAAGCAAGATGAAATCCTTGACAACTTCAACCTTTTCTCTGTTCATCATGATGTTACCTATTGGTCCAATTGTGAGAGTTTTGGTGTTCTTTACATCAAACTATAATCCATACTGAAAGCTGCAGGCCCTGGTCGCCATCGGCAAGTGCTTCACATCCTCCTCCTTTCAGCAAGCAAATTAACCTCCCACAGGAAAGCAAGAAATCTACCTCTGAACTACCACTGTCCTCTCCCCACAGAGAATCTGAGCAGTGATTTGCTGAGAGAATAAATGAACTGTAAGTGCCTAGCCCTCCAGGGATGGGAACCTTGGTAGCAGAGCCGATTACCATTGGGCTGCTACCTGCAAGGTCAGCAGAGTGAACCCACCAGTGGACCCACAGGAGAGATAAGGCTTTCTGCCCCCACCCAGATTTATAGTCTTGCAAACCCAAAGGCACCCTTCTACTGTCCTCTAAGGCCAGAGTCGTTCATGATCGACGAGATGGCAGTGAGGTTTGTTTTGTTTTGGAGAAGGGGTGGGGTTTGCTCCTGAAAAGACACCTGCCTTGGAAAGCCTTTGTAGGGTCACTTTGTGTTGGGATGGCCCGCGATGGCAGTGGGTTTCAGGGGTCACTGCCTCCTGGATACCAATCACAACACCCCTGTGGCTCAGCGTGACAGCCCTCCAGGGATGGAGCCGGACTGCGAGCCAACTGGGCCGAGACTCAAGGCTGACCTCTGAAAGTCTCACTGCTTGGGCTCTCAGGCTGAGCCGGTCTGGGCAGGAGGCTCCCCCATTCCCCGAAGACAGGGCTTTGTCAGCAAACCCAATCAGAAGATGGAGGAGCCAATGAATAATTTAAAACACACTTGTCTCTAAAGCATACAACCAAGCACCTATGGCCGGAGAGCCGAACTGCCCGCGTGGTTTCCAAGGCTGTCAATCCTGACAGAAGCCGACTGCCCCATCTTTCGGTCTCGGAGAGCTTGGTGGGTTAGAATCAGGACCTTTCTGTCCACAGCGAGTTGCCAGGTCAGCAGTTCGAGCCCACTAGCGGGTGCGTCCGTAACCCCTGCGTCACCAGGGCGTCTTTCAGAAGGGATAGGCGCCGCTAACCACCCTCGAATGCTGAGCGGGTCACGAAGTCACTTGCAGCCATTTTGGCGAGGTGGGTGGGGGGCCGGGAGGGGAGGCGGGTGGAGGAAGGGCAGGAGTTTGCCAGGCGCCGAGAGGCCTGGAAAGAGGGAAACGGCGCGGGGGGACGACAAGCATTTGGCTTAGGAAGGGATCTGAGGACCCCGAAGGGGAACAGTAGCGTGGAACTCCTCAGCGTCCTCAAGGGCCCTCAGAGGCTGCAGGGACAGCAGCTGATAAAGCTGCTTATCAGCCTGGCCCCGCCCCGGGGGCGGGGCCGGAGGGGCTCTGACAGGCCCGTGTAGAGGCTGACGTCAGCACGTAGGCGAGACTCAGCGCGACGAGGCGACGCCGCGAGAGGGGGCGTGGCCCGACGAGGCTCGGCCCCGCCCCGCGGGAGAGGACGCGGCGGGGAGACAGGAAGTCCTTCCGCCTCCGCCGGCCTCCGTGCTCCCTTCAGCCCCGCCCCTCGGCTCCTGCGTGAGGTCGTGTCCCGGAAGTGAAGGGGCCATATTGGTGGGTGACCCCGGGCCAGGGACCGGGCGAGAGGCGAGTTCCTAAGGCGGTAGCGCGCGCGCGCGGCCCGCGGGTGAGTGAGGGCGGCCAGGGCGGCTACGCCTGCTCTCAGGGTCGCCGCCGAGGCCATCCGGCCCGGCCCCGGCCCGCCGGCTTCCCCCTGGGAGACGCCTTTGGGTCCCTAGCCTCCCGGAGCCGGCCCCCCAACCCCTCGCGGGTCCGATGACTCCTGTCTGGGGGGGGTCTTGGTTCTCTCTTCGGCAAGGCCACCCCTCGTGTCGGGGGAGGACTGGCGATGGCCTTCCGGTCTCAGCCCTGTGTTGACAGTCGCCTTCTACCTCACAAAGCGCCTTTCCCGCCGGCCCTGTGGATTCAGCTCGCCTCCGTGGGTGCCCCTGAGGTCATGGGAGAGGGGCCATGGCGCCCAGCCGGCAGGAAGTGAGCGAGGCCCGTGGCTAATGGCTGGCCGCTGGCGTGGGGCCCAGAGCTTTTCGGCCCCATGCGCCGCTTCCCAGGCTCAGCTCTCTCGTTCTGAGAGGGGCAGCCATCCCTTCCGTCCCGGGACGCGGTGATGGTGGCCCGGTTCATTCCGCCGTTTTGGGAGCCGGGTGAGCTCCAGGCATGCGCGGGGGAAGGCTGATGAGAAGCCAGCACAGGGTAGCTGTCGCCAGAGAGGCCGAGAGCGGGGGTCAGGACGTCCCTCTCCTGATAGAGCGGTGGGCCCCTGGGCTGTCACGACCCCCGTGGGGCCCTCGTGTCGCCCACTGTAACCGAGGATCCTGGTGAGCTAGTGGTTGGTCGGATGGGTGAGGCGATGCTTGGCAAGCGCTGAGCATATCCGAGGTCCGTGCGCGCTCACTGGGCTCGGTAGGAACCCAGAGCTGGCCACCGCAATGGCTCCCCGGTTTACAGAGAGAATGGACGAGAGGGCACCTACCAGGGACAACGCTCTGCCTGTGTGAGGGCTTATTGTGGTGCAAAGGAGGGTGGTGGCACTGAGCACGGGTCACGGAACCCAGTGTTCGCAGAGAACCTCTCAGGTGGGGTGGCACTAACTACAGCTCCCGATGGAGAACTTAGGAGCCCTGCTGGCGTGTGGTTCCGTGTTGGGCTGCTAACCACAAGGTCAGCAGTTCGAAACTACCAGCGGCTCCGAGGGAGAAACACCAGGCTTTCTACTCTCCTGAAGCCCCAGTGTCGTGCTGGTGGTGCATTGGGCCACCATCCGCAAGGTCAGCAGTTCAAAACCTCCAGCTGCTACACCGGAGAAAAAAAATGAAACGAGACTTTCTACTCCCATACGCAGTGACAGTCTCGGAAGCTCACAGGAGCAATTCTACCTTGTTCTATTGGGTCGCGATGGGTCAGAATTGACTCAGTGACAGTTTTTGTTTTGTTCTGTGTTTTAGAGTGCTAAGGATACATCCAGCATGGTCCTGGACACATTAACTCATGTAACTGTCCCACGAACCAGCTGGGGAATGCAAGCACCATGCTGATTTTGTCGCTCAGTAATTGGCACGAGCTCGGGCAGCAGAGCCCTGATCTGCAGCCACTCTGCCGTTGGGTGCCCCCGCCCCCAACCCCATGAGTGCAGAGTAGAGCTGCTGGTAGGAAGCAGAGGCCAGACCTGTTTTCCAAGGTGCCTCTGGGTGGGTTTGAACTGCCGACCTTATGGTTGTTACCAGTAGGCACATACCCACCTTCGTGGCTGTTATAACACCCAGGGAATCCACTGGCAGCCGTGCTGGTGAAGCTCTGCCACAGGTGCTTCATGTCCCTTATGCCACTCACTCTTCAAATAACCCAGTCTGCCCTGGGCTATCTTAGCCTTATCTCTGGTTGACAAGTGCCCAGTGGAGCATGGTCCTCTGGCAGGTGTGAGGCAGAGTTCAGAGGCAGGTCCAGGAAATCCAGCCTCAGTCCCTGGCCCTGTGCTCTCCCGGGAGAGGGAGCCAGGAAGCTGGGGTCTTGTTTCTGCCCTGCCATGAACTCAAGTGTGTGACCTTAGGGGTTTCCAAAGCCAAGATGAAAATTGGAACTAGGTGTTCTCTCTTGGCGCTGCTGACTGAATTCTGGTCCTGTCCTTTCCCCTGTTTATAGCTGGACGCCAGCCCCTGCCGGTCCCCCATGGCCACCTGGAGCCGAGAGGCAGTGCTGAGTCTCTACCGGGCTCTCCTGCGCCAGGGCCGGGAACTTCGATACACTGACCGAGACTTCTACCTTGCCTCCATCCGCCGCGAGTTCCGGAAAAATCAGCAGCTCACGGACTCTGAGGCCCGGGCGTGGCAGCTGGAGAAGGGCCTGGTTTTCCTCCACAGCAAACTGGGGGGCATTGTCTAGGACCTTCTTCCTAGCCCTCCCACCCAGAGCCAGGCAAGAGAGGACCAAGGGACATTTGTTGACACTGCAGCTCCCGGGTGCCAGGACAGGCTTCAGGTGGGCCCTTGTTCCCACCTGCCTGCCACAGGGCTCCAGGAAGGGAGGACCTTCCCTTGTTAGCAACCAGGGAGAACACGCGACAGATGCCCTGGAAGTGCGTTGTAGGTGGAGGGAAAGGGCTGGAGTTTCAAGTGTCTACAGGACAGGACTGGAGCACCATTATTTTTTCCCTTGATTCCTTTGAACAGGTGACTTGGTGGTGACCCTGGTTTGAACCATAGAGCTCAGCTAGAGGGCAGCCCAGGCTTCCGTGGATTGAGTTACCTTTTGGGTTAGCTCACGTTCTCCAGAGTGGAGTGGTGTGCCGTCTCAGCAGCTTAGAGAGCAAGCCCACGCTGCCCCTTCTGGGCAGCCCTGCGCTGCCCTTAGGAGCCGTGGGGTTTAGGACGACCCCTCCTATTTTCAGGCTTCTCTTTCCTCATCTGTAAGGTGGCCATAACAGGAGCCCGGGTGGGGCACTGGGTTAAGCCTTAGGTTGCTAACCACAAGGTCAGTAGTTGGAAGCCACCAAGCACTCTGTTGAAAGATGAGGCTGGCTTCTCTGGTAAAAATTCAGAGCCTTGGAAACCCACAGGGGCAGTTTCCTCTGGCCTGAGGGTCGCTGTGTGTTGGAATCGCCTCCCGGGCCATGCTTTGGTGTGGATAGCTAGGGGAGAGGGCATGGGGACTGCTTGTTGCGTGGTGTGTGAAGGAGCTGTCTGCTCCCAAGATGTCCTGCGGCAACCTTCTGATTCTCTTTGATTCAGCACTGATCCATGAGGACCGCCTGTGACCAACTTGAGGGACTGGTGGGGGTGGGATTTGACCATGGGGACCTGGTAGTATGGATCTGCAGGAAGCCCCCGGGAGAGAGCGTTGTCTGGAATCTGGAGATGGGATCGGGACTGCCTAGGAAGCAGGTGGGGAGGGCAAGAATAGGATTTGGGCTGTGAGGGATTTTCTCGCCAGGTCCCCCCCCACCCCCCAAACCAACCAACCATTCCCTGCCGCCCAGTCCATGCTGGCCTGTCGGACAAGGTAGGGCTGCCTTGGGTTGCTGAGACTGACTCTCCTTGGAGCAGTGGGTGGTTTTGAACTGCTGACCTTGTGCTTAGCTGCCCAACTGGGGTCCACTGCGCCACCAGGGCTCCTTGGCAGAGGAGCCAGGAGGTGGGGAAACCCCTCTTGGAGTCTGGGCCCTTGGAAGTGGTGTGGCTGACCAAAGGGCAAGGGGTGATGGGGCCACATTGGCGTCTCAGTGGGACTGTGCTGGTGGTGGTGGTGGTGGTGGTGGGGGGGGTTGGTGAGAGCCCCGGAGGCAGCAGACCTGGCAAGAGGAGGTGATGGACATGCCCGCCTATTGGCGTGCTCAACCTCAGGACTGACCAGTGGGCCTGGGAGGGGGGTGGTTGAGAGGTGCACAGTCTGCTCTCCGCTCCCAGCCTCTTGGTTGGCAACCTGCCTTTGGTATTGCTCAGTCCAGGGAGGGTGGGGTCCGCTTTGGAAGGGGAGCAGTGATTTCTGAAGATTTTTGGCCTGATTTTAGAAGCCCTGGTCGTGCGGTGGTTTCACTTCGGGCTGCTAACCACAAGATCAGCAGTTCAAAACCACTAGCCGCTCTTCAGAAGAAAAACGAAGGTTTCTATTCTCCTAAAGAGTTAACAGTCTCAGAAACCCAAGGAGCAGTCTGCCTGGTCCTGTGGGGTCGCTGTGAGTTGGTATTTGGTTTTATACCTCATTGAACTGAGCCACGCCCCCCAAATGAGAAAGGTTAACAGTGCTTGCAATTGTGCAATAAATAGTTACTGTGTAGCAGAGGCGAGGCCTCCGAGCTGTGAGCTGGAGGGACTAAGTGGAATTGTACATTGCATGCCATTGGGATCCCTTAAACCTAGTTCTCCCAGCAGGAGCAGCGGACTTCACCCCACTTTAGGTCTTCCTGTGTAAGTGGGTGAGGGCACCGGGACTGGCCTCCTAGGATTGCCCCAGGATAAGGGAGGTGATGAGCACAGGCGGAGCTCGGGCACAGTCTCCAGACCCAGTCCTCCTCATGTCTGCGACCTTGCCCTTGAAGTCGCTTGGCTGCAGGTCTTGGCTAGGTTGGGATTTTCCCAGGTGGGTGGCATCCTTCTCTGCCCTCCAAGTCTGGGGTGGTGGTGGGTGTTTCTACTGTGCCTCTGGACCCCGGGTTAAGGTGCCGGTGGGCACTGTGGGCAGAGCCAAGATTCTTTGGCCACCAGGCTGCTCTTACCTACCCACCCCTCCTCCAGGAGGACTCTGGGATAGACCTGCTGAGAGGCTTGGCTGGGTGCAGCACACCAGGCCTTCCTCTCCCCAGCCTGGCCCAGCCGCCAGCTCCAGGGTGCTTACGGTGCTAGTGTGGGAAACAAGGTGTTGAACTTGCCTGCTCCACTTTCAGTTCACTGCCCAGCTGTGACGGCCTAGGTGGAGGACAGAGGGCCTCCTCAGTCTTGCCTCCAGTGTAATCAGTTCACTTGGCATCGCCCACGGCCATCAGGAAGGGGGTCTTTTGCATGTGGTGGGTCTCCTGGGAGACTTCCTAGGGGCCTTTTTGGGTAGCACTTTGCACCCCCTCTTAGTGTGTCCTCCCAGCCGTGGAGTGCTCGAGGCCATGTAGGTGTCAGAGCTGAGCAACTCAGTGACCTGTTGGAAGGGACACAGCTCACAGCGTCTCAGGACTTATGACTCAAAGCCAAGCACCTTTCTGTTTGCTGCACACCCACCTTACCTGGGCCGTCCCCTAGAAATGCCAAAGGGTTGCTCCCCAACTTCTAGTTTGGTTTCAAGGACCCTGTAAAGAGGGGTGCATGCAGGGTTCCCCCTTATGTAATGTTGTTTGTCTGTGAAGGTGCTTGGTTTATTTTTAAAAAAAATCATTTTATTAGGGGCTCATACAACTCTTATCACAATCCATACACACATCAATT